TTACCTTTTACAAATAAATTTGCAAAAATTCACTAAAAAAGGAATGATAATATCCAGAAGTCTCCTCACGAATGTATCTCGCAACTAAAGGAAAATTTCTCTCAACTGTCATTGTCCACTAAGAATATTAGCTTTAGAAAAATACATCTACGAAATACATGGGCGCCGCTACTAAAGGGCAAGGGGGGGCCCGGGCCCCTCCCTGGGATTTGAGAAATCACTTAATCCCTTTTAGAAAATGTTGAAAGCTCACAATAAAACCAGAACACAGCCACCTTTCTCTGTCCCATCGCTGTTCGGTGACAAAGCAAAAGTAGGTAAACCTTTTATAACCTTATTGAGTTACCTCAATGTCCATAAAGTTGCTATATTGTATAGACTATAGAGATTAAATTAACCGAAGACCGCAAGGTGGCGTTTTGTTTTGGAAAAACATCAATGACAATATTGTCATGTCACTTACATATTTCGGTTCGGCGGTTTTTAGCGCATTTTTCAAAAGGAAAACGAACGCTATTGTCCGCACTTTGTCCGTCTTTACCATTACTAGTCCTCCACTTTAAGCTTTTTCGTTGTGGTTTCTTTCTTATACAGTGTAGCACAGCCTCGAGGCCAGAACGACAAAAGACTTTTGGATTAGTCACTTCCTTCCCGACCCCGAGCTACGAGTATTATTACTGATTCTGTGCGGGGAAAATGCGCTTTCGTTGGTCGCGAGTGACCACTTTTTTAACTTGTTATGGAATAGATGCACATAAAGTGATGAATATACGAAGAATCGCATACGATTCAGTAGGGGAATTTTGTTACTCAGCTCGTATTGGGAAACCAGACTTTTCATCCGGCTCATATTCAATAGCACTGATTCTTGAACTCGTAGAAATCGATTGGCGAACATTTGACATCGCTGTGTCTTTTCGTTCTTGAGTTAGACGGGGAACAGGCGCACAGGCGGACAAAACCATCACGTAAGAGGAATTTTTATTCTTCCGATTACATTGTTTTACCCTACTCTACATTCGACATTGTAATCAATAACATTATGGTTGGTAATTTGTTATAGTTGTGAGTAGAAAAATTATGCAGACACAGTTTAATGTTACAATTTGCCCTCGAATTTGCCTTACGCACTGTAATTTTTATCACCTGCACGTTAGTAAGAGAGGTATTGCATTGGGGCAAAAAATGACCCCCCCCCCTACTTTTTTTCGGAAATACACGTTTTGAAGCACCAGGATTCCGAATCCAACAACATTTTGATGATGTCGGTCTGTCTGTAGTGTACTGTTATTGTAACCAAATTTGGTACACATATTCTTAGATATAAAAGGAAGAGCTGAAAAGCTTTCGGGGAGAATAGCGCATGCGCAAGTGTGTTAAACTCTCATTAACGGCTAAACGGCTGAACCGATTGGAACCAAATTTGGTACACATATTTTTGGACCTAAAAGAAGGTACAACGCGCATGCGCCGGTGTGCAAGTGGTATCTGTGCTAACCACAGCAAATTTTATAATATAGTGCTATTAATTTCATTTTTTTTTCAGTAAATACTGTAACTTGTTACTTTTGTTCTTGTTTTCTTTTGTGTCTAATATGTACCTATTACACTATTACACCAAGTGGTTTTTATTGGATATATGATTTAGCTGCGTATCCTATTGAGTGACTAATTTAAAAATAGTATTAGGTAACATTTTCTATTCCAAAAATGTAAGGGCCCCTCCCTAGCGCATTTTCTTCCGGCGCCCCTGACGAAATAGTTTCCCAAACGAAAAAGAAAAAAATTGGTCCAGGAAGAAAATCTGCCGCATGAAAAATTCGAATCGGAATCAATAATCATCTTGTGAAATATTATATCGGGTGTACACTTCACATACAGATACAGAATATACGACAATCCGACAATATGCGCTGAACGTTTTGAGGACGAATACAACACCGGGGAGATCTCTGCGCTTCGAAGGTCTTATGATATGTGTAGAGGGTAAGTCCATACGCTCCAGAGCCCCCGGTACTTCAAAACTTTTAGCCTTCAGAACTCTGCTTTTCATAAAGGACATCGTATCTTCCTTTTCTAAGGAATATTCGAACCGGGGGGTCGTGGAGGAATGGAATGTCCCCAGAAAAAAGGAAAGATTCAATGTTCATTTCCGTACACATATCATAAGATCTTCGAGGTCCCGGTGCTACATTCATATTTCAAAATGTCTAAGGACTCTGTTATAGATTTCATCATTGAATAAAGAAGATTATTTATTCAATGATTTCATAATGGACAACCGAATCTTCCTTTCCTAAGGATTATCCCAACCTGGGGGGTCTGGGAGGTATGTAATACCCTCCAGGAAAGAAGCAAAGATTCAATGTTTTATTTCCGTACACATATCATAAGATTTTCGAAACATCAATTTATGCTAAACTCGGAATTTCGATTGGTGACTCACTTAATAAACTTTAAGGAAGATTTGCCGTCAAAGTAGGAATCTTAACTGATGATGCACTTAATAAATACAGAATTTTTTATACCCGTGAATTTTTCCAAATTTAGAGAAGATCCCGAATAGGTACGTTGGGGGCAGAATTTCTGGAGATTTGCTGTTCGTTTTAGTTCGACGTCACCATTCCCAAGCTGTATTGTAAGGGAATATACCATCTTCGAAGAATCGTCTAAATGGAGGTACTGTAGATTTCAATATCTATAAAAACAATAGAGGCTTGACCTTTTTATGGAATTTCCTTTTAATAAATTGCATCCAATCCAATCCAATCAATTGGCAATTTAAAATCAGCATTAATGACATATATTTGTGACTAACGAACGCATTTATTTAAAATCCATTTGGTTACATTGAATTTTAGTGGCTGTTAGGACCAAGGATGTAAAAAAAGTCCAAGTTTGGTATCGTTTTTTCGTATAAATTGAAGATGCCGAATTCATTTTTGGTATCATATTGACACTGTTCCGAAACAAAAACATAAATTTTTTTTACCTTGATTAGATTATGCAACAAAACTTTCCTTCTTCTCCCTTTTCTCATGGATTTCGAAATTAAACTTATTTCTTTCCTTTTTTAGCTATCTGAATGCAGGTAATAAATATAAAGAACTAAACCATATAAATTTGGTTATATTGACCATATAAATATTAGATCTAGTTTACTCGTTGATTTAGAACGTTACTATCTACAACCCTTATTTCTGGTTAATTACCCCAATTTAAACTATCCTCACACTCGCAGCAAAATTTTTGGCGCAAACAAATACATTCATTGCAGATAACAAAAGGTTTATCTAGAATCAATATTCATTAATTGTTGTTTTCGTTGTGAAATGGGGAATTTAAAATTTATTAAAGCTAGCCGTGGCCCAGTTTCCCTTTTATACTATGCAACCCTGTTGCAGGGTGTATTTGGGACACTTCGGGCCTTTTTCGAAAATGCACATCATTTATTCCTGTTTTGTGGTAAAACATAAGGTTTTCCAGTTCTCTCTAAATTGGTGGAAGGATTACCTTCTTCACATTCTCTTATTGCACTGTATAAGGTTGACAGACTCATTTTTAATCTCTGGACAAGTTCACAATGTCACTTTTGAGTAACCGTTCAACTAGGCTGTAGATATTCTTGCGGATTTTAGGTTTGTGCAACTTAATTATTGAAACAATTGTGTAGAAGTCAAATTTCGTACACAGATGGACCATGTAAGCTATGAAAGAAGTGTATAGATTTTGGTGAATTTATTATGATTATGAAAAAAACCTAGAAAATAACGTATAATTTAGAGGCATGTTATAAAATACCCATTACCTACACCCGTGCGTAAGGAAAAAAATTAGAATAGATCATGTACTTTGGAAGTGATAATTATCTACAGACTACAAATATGAAAACTGTCAACATTCGTCGTTTTAGATTTTGCCTTATTTTTACTTTGAAATTCACGGAGGTCGTAGAAGAAGTATGGTACGTAATTCGTAGAATTGCATTTTTTCTACTCACTTGTAATACGCACTGCAAATTGTACCAGAAAAATTACAGCTAAGGGAATCGTAGGGATATGCTTCTAATTTTGGTTCCAGTATAAAATGATAGTACAGAAATGTAATTCCTATTATACAACATAAGGGGTACATAAAAAAATCATTAAATATTCACCACTCAATGCCGGTTTTTCATTGTACCATTAAATTGATCTCATATAGATATACGAATGCATTTGTTTCCATAGAAACGAATTGTCCGAGTTAACAATAACAGATATTAACGGATTTAAAAATGAACAAATGCGACAATTTTAATAATATTAAAAATTTGGAAAAATAATTAAATAAGGTATTGTTAGCAACGGTAAATTCTTTTAGAGTTTGTTGCCTGTTATATAGCCATTTATTCCATGCATTTGATCCGTTTTTTAAACCATACGTAGCCCATATGTTTAAATGAAAAAAAATTCCCTAATGGAAAGTTTTCAAGAAAAACATTCCCTGTAGGTTTCCATTTTTTATTGGCCCAAATCCATTTTGATAAAGAACAGAGAAACAATCTTCTGAAATCAACATTTTTTTATATCTTCATGATTTTTAAATACTGTTTTCAGTTGAATCCCCTTTGAAATTAACGTGTGAGCTCAATTACAATGAAAAACATTTCCAGTATTTTCAGAAAAAGAATTAGAGAGGAACATATCCTATTTAGATACGACTTTCAAGCGTCGTAATGCAACATAATTCTCTTTTATCCAATTTTTACATGTCTACATTATACGCCTTACTTCTTATCGTTTTAGAGTATAGGGTTTTTTAAAAGGTTTATAGCTGTGGAGGGGCGTCATGCATATATATCACTAATTAAAAAAACTATCGGACATCTAAACAAATCATACTCCTTTGCAACATTAATTAACTAGGGTATAGCATTGAATAAAAACACTATTCAATGTATAGTAAGGTATAGTAAGCGACTTTAAAAATTGAAACACCTTCAATAGCCAAAAACTTACCCTCTCCGGTACAGACGACCGCAAGATACATTAGAAAACAAAGTTGAAACTGGTACACCCTTTTCATACTGAAAAATAATAGTAACACCGAAACTGAAGCTCTACAAGTGCTATTTTGTTTATGTAATTTCATCCAAATCGGGCGCCTTTTATATGCGAATAAACCCTCGGGGGTGTTTCACAGTGTCAGTCCATGAGTTTGCGCTCGAAGAAAATACGAAAGCAGCGATTTTTAAATAGTTTCAGGATTACCTGCAACATAATTAAGGCTGACTGCTGGAAATGATGTGCTAATCAGCATTAAACGCCCCAAGTAATTGTTTTCATTAGCATTTTCTTCAGGAGGTTATACTTAGTTTAACTTAATTTTCTGCGCTTTAACACGTCGTTGTTTGATATTATTGGACAAACAACCCTTAAACGCTGTATTTTATATAAATTTAGAACCCATTTAATTTTATTTCGTTACTTTACGTTGTACTCTTTCATTTTGTGCATTTTGTAAAATCTGATTAAATGCATAGTAACTTTTGATATAGCTTCGTTAAAAGATCATTCGAAAATCATAATGAATCACCGATTGCAATTTGCAAAGTGATTAAAAAAACTGAGTGAAAATTCTGCACGGACAATAAGGGTGTTGTAATCTGCCTACATTTATGTGTTACAATATATTGTCAGGTGTAGTCTTATACACCACCGTTTTTAAATGTCTCTAAAGCGGAGTCAAGTCGTGGTAGCCATTCTATGCCACCTCCTTCTCTGCCAATCCATGGACCTGGAAACCGTACATTTAGCGAACAGCATAATGTGGCGAAGCTCCCTCTTGCTGAAACCAAGCAAATATGACCCACGTTCGGGGAGCCAATAAAAATGCTGTGTGTAATGGTCCTGGTCAAAGTGAACCATACACAAAACACCCCAAACCTAACTAGCTCACTAATTAAAACTCTCCCAGTACACATCGCGTATCCCGGCACAAACATTCAATTTTGACTTTAAATTCCAGATTCAAAGCAAACAATGGTCACGATGAAATTCCTTGAACTCCAAAAGGATCACTGACCAAAGACTCTTGAAATAAACTTTATCATAATAATTAAGCATGAGTCATGTATCTGAGTCGTTAAAGGGGTCGCATAAACACACGACTTTTCGAATAAACAAAATTTATTGTGCGACCACAAATGAAAATAAACTTAAAATTCTACTTCAAAATCCGAATAAACGAACCCCCCACGAGCGATGAAACGAATGCTGTCCATTTAATGTGGACGACAACTTCAATGAAAACTGTTATTTTAAATTGCTAGTCTATTCTACTAATTTTCAAAGGACATCATCTCGGCTTCGAGATGGGACTTCCTTCTTAACCAAATCGAAATTTCTTCGGCCCAGAGCGTCATGGGAAGGAGCCATTAAGAAAAGCATGACAGAAAGAAACCTGTCGGGGGAGCAATGCTATAATAGAGACGAATGGATGAAAAATCTGGAAATCAATCAGCGACGACAGACGCTATAAACCGAAAATATATAAATTATTCCAAATACACCATAATGATGTAGGTAAGTGTCAATTATTCAGTAATCATTTCCCGATGATACTTGAACTGTAGGTGTTTTCAAGACTTCAAGACAATCAAAATGTGACAAGTTTTTGTACTTGTGGATATTTAAAGAGATTTTATGGGGGCTGCACATTATAAATTTAAAGTAGGGGTATCTGGGTGGGTGGGCGTGAATTCTAAAACTAAGTTAAAACTTCCTTAAACTTATCCCCAGGTATCTAAATAGACAGTGCAATTTTGGTTTTTTGGTAATCAAAATTACAATTCGTTTTGAAATAAAAATCCTCTATTGCACCAACAAAAGGAAAAAAATAAATGGTAATGTTTGTTACAAAATAAATGTGTCATTTCAAGATCGTTTGTCAAACGGCGCATGAAGACAAATCTCTTGAAGTATTCATTACACAGTTTCCTTCATTTTAGATACAACCGTGCGGAATCAATTTTAGGAACGCTTCACATTTCAATCAACGTCAGTAACTTTCACCTTAAATAAAATTAATCGAAACTTCTCTTAACATCGCTTCTTTGTTCGCACCTACACTAGCAGCGGGAAAGGTTGAGTTTTCAAAAGAAATATTTTCTTTCGAGTAACATTTTCACTGTAGAAAGGAAAGGGTAGGTACGTTTTTGACGATTTACTTTTTCAGTGCTTCATACCTTTATAAATAGGAAGCTTATGCACGCTTCATCGACCTGATGTGACACCGTCAATTTTGCAAGGAAGCACGTAAACGTATTTACCTACGGCCAACGTTTCAATTTATTGATGTAAGTAAACAATCTGTACGTGTAAATTTTAGAGTAAATGAGTATTTACCGCATTCTGATTATCTTTACCAACTAAGGGTGAATCTATACACTGTGTCCAATATAGGTGGCATTTTTTATTACCAATCCAACGATGTACGGCACAAAAAAAAGCAAAAGCATCCGCGCCCTAATCGTGGGAGAATACCTATCGGAAAAATTCCAGAAACATGCAAGATTGTGGCGTTGTACGCGGGTGCTCCATTCTGTTGAAACCTCGGTTGAAACCAACAGTTTGCAACTTCTGTTTTTTTCCTATGTCATACATTGTTGTATTCGTAATTTAAAAAATGCTACTCAATGCTGTATGTAAGTACCTTTTTTACGAGCCATGTAAAAAATCAAGTTGATGATGATTTCTTTGAAACCAAACGTTATTGTATTGAAAATCCCTCAATGGTGTCTTGTAGAGCTCAAAAAGTGCCAATGAGAAGGTGTTCAAATGACATCAGGGAGAAGATAAAAACGAATCGCCAAATTTCGGTTTTTTGGCATATCTTCGGAAGCAATGGTAATTTTCTGGTTTTCTTCAAAGTATATGATAATTCCGCATCTTTTTTGTAATTTGACTATTGTCGTATTTTCTATGGTTTCCGAGATCCCTTATGATAGACAGTCTTGTCTCTAAGACAGTGTATACATTCAGAGACTGAACTGCTTGCTCCTTATAAAAATTTTACATTTACGTCCATACAAGTATGTTCGAAAGTGCTTCTACTTTAGTAATTTTTTGTCTATTATTGGGTATTTGAATTCTCCCCGATTAAGCACCCTACTGGCATAGGGGATCACTTACATTACATAAAACTACACCTATTTAGGTAGGGTAAAATTTAGAATTTCCTTTAATTTTCACAACTTCTTGCATTTGCATAAATTAGCTACATTTCACTGGTCACTTCTTGTTTTCTCAGTTTCCTGAATTTTTAGTCACACATAATGTCTGCGTGACTCCCCAAAACCTCCTTGTATCTTCTCCAGAATTCACTGTAACTTTCTCAAATATTCTTGCATTACGTTAAATTTCCACAATTTCTAAAGATATAAGCAACAGCATTTATTTAAAGATTGATTTTTGTCTTCCGAATCTCCCTATGTGTGTCCGTGTCATATTCCATTCCCTTAACATTTCCACTTATTCTGACAAGCCCTACCCAAGTTTCCAAGAATATACTTCTATTTTCTTTCCCAAAGTTTCATGTAGTGTGAGCAATTTTATACATATCTTAAAATTTGCCTTTTAATTTTCCAAATTGTGTTATTTCCCTATTAATTTTCTCAATTGCCAAAGTAAGATTTCCTTAAAAACAGCCTCTTAATTCTTTACTTTATATGTCTCCCTTTGATTCCCGCAAAATATCTTATATTTCCTCAAGTGAATTTGATCACTATTCCCGTTTTTTTTTGTTAAAATTTGCTCTTGTTCTCATAAACTGTTTTTATATTTCCCTTAAACTTTCCCTAAACTCCTTCACATTTACCCAATTTTCCATATTAAGTGAGTTTTTACTGGCGATAGGAGAAGTTCACTAGCACTCTCACGGTATTGTGGTATATTTCTTCATAACCGATCAGCATTTACCTAACATTATCATAATAGTTGGGAAAAAATCGAATCTTCCTATACCAAGAGGTATTTCCTCGGGTATTTCATTCTGCACAGAATTGTAGTCTTGTCTAGAAAATTATCGTGAGAGGGTTAAACGCTTTAGAAAATAACGTATTACCGGCGAGTCTGGGATATGAAATACCTCGGTAAAGACTGGCTTGAAAATTCTTTCTCTATTACCCCTACGTACCCTATCAAAACCTTCAGGATCTAAATACAATCTTCGTTGCTTTTATCATGTTTTAATATAAATCCAAAATTGTAGCCGCAAGTTTTCTTCAATTTCAAATACTTAAACTGAAACAATAATTGAAGGTCATTAAGTTTTGTTCTTCAGCTACTTACACTTGTGTATTTATTGGTCAATATGCAATAATATATTCTGCGGCCCAAAACTATACCTAGTTTCAAAAATTTGAACAACTTCCTTTAATTTTTTGGTTAAAACTTGGCTTCAAATTTACACATTTCCGCAACCTTCAATTTTAAGACTTCATTAAGTTCTTAATTAAAAATTTAGAAAAAAAGAACGTGTAATTAAAGTTTTAGAGAAATCGTACAAAAATTCTCAGAGGAGAATAAAATAATCTTTTTACTTGGTTTAAGTTTAAGTGAATTATAAAAGTGAGTGAAAGAGAAGAAGTTTTTTAGTGCCAAAATTCTTCGCCGAAAAAATGTCATTGTCGACATTGTAAAACCTCCCATTGCCTTAATTGGTCTCTTTGAAGAAATTCTACGAAGAAGATATCCAGCAAAATCGAGGGAAAGCAGGGTCCAAAACCACTACCTGTAGAAATTAGAAACGAGGCGTTAAAAAGCTCTATCCTCTTGAGCTCAGCGACTTGCTGGGATTGCAACAATTGAAAGGTACCTACGTATTATATTTTTTTACTATACCTAGTATACTTAGAGAAGTTTATGATGGCGCATGAATATAACCTTATAATTATTGAATTTGTTATTTAACTATAGGGGTATTTTATTAGGAGTTAGTAGGAATTAGGTTTCCCTTTCCTGTCTATTTTTAGCGTGTTTATAATAAAATTGCTTAATTTCAATGTTTAAATAAAGCCATGTATTCATTTTGATACTCTTTTGGAATTTGTCTGCCACTTATAAATTTTTTTACTGAAGGAGTAAAGAGTTTTTGTATCAAAGAGAGGTCTACACAATAGGTAATTACATAAACTCATAAACATATTGGATTATCAGTATTTTTCCAAATTGTGATTACAAATTATTGACACTTAATGAGATATCAGTGAAATAGAACTAAATTCTTTCCTCTTTTTAACTATTTTTACCTGAGCTGGCTGGAAAGTAAAAGTACAAAAGGTGAGTTCCAAAAGTACTTCAATATAATAAGAAGAGGAAGTTACAAGAAGAATTTATACCAAGAACCTTGGAAAATCTTCAACACGATGGCAATGCAAATCTATACCCTTCCTTGGGTCAGAATTACAGAACCACCCTTTAATTTTTACCTGACTTGTACAACACTTGCATTGTTACTAAATGCTACACTCCCTAAAATCGTTCTTCTCTACACGGTTAAGTTACAACACAAAAAAGATACATGTTCATAACTCAAACCCTTAGACCAAGTTAAAGGAACAGAAGTATTCACATAGGAAGTCACCTGTATCCATCAGACAACTGATACATGATAGATCCGCCCTTTATTTATCTTATGAGGAATGAAGAATCAAACTACAGCTGCATTATCAAAGTAGTTTTAAATTAATTAAAAATGATGAGAAACATTAGACGATATATTTTATAGTTGTTGTGGTTATTATGATTTCCCGAGAAGACGAAAAATTACTGGCGATTGCTAGTGCACTTTATAACAAATTTTGTCTACTTTAATTTTTTTATAGAAGTTAATCCTTCAAAAACACATCGCCAGTTAAATTGGAAAAACTAGAAAAATCTAAGATCTTAATGACAAGATTGTTACAATGAAGGGCCTCCTTCCAAGTTCCAACCTTGTCTCCTTTTAACTCTTTGATTTGAATTCCTCTGCTTCATACGGCCTTTATAATAGCGAACAACAAATGCTATTTGGAGCAAATGGAGCCCTTCTTCTCCAAATACTTTGCCGCGCATTTTATAGGGCCAATAAGAAAATAAAATGTGGCAACTCCGTAAATATTTTCATTACGCGGCAATATTTAAAGAGCCATTAGTTCTGGATTTGCGAGGGTTCGATTGTAGAATCCTAACGTGCGAGTTCTTATAGCCTATACGCGTTTATGTTTTAAATGTTGTTCCACTATTGCTATTACTATGAATACGATTTGCTATAACTGTAAAAGAGTAAAGAATTACAAAATTCTGATGCTGTGCACGATACGTAATTCACTCTGTATAGGTACTTAAAAGTAGGTATGCAATGCATGTTATCAATTGGCAGCGTCAGTAACACACCCTTTATAGTGTAGTTCACATGCTACAAATGCAGTAGTTCAAATGTCCGAAAATAGTTAATCTGTTCCAAGGTCCTTTCGTAACCGCGTTCTAACCTCTCTTTTTCATCTCTCAAAACAACCGCACCTTCCATTCCACATCACCTTTCATTGCATTTGTGTGTTGGAGAGAATGAATATTCTGTGAATAAAATTTAAAAAATTCAACAGGTAATAGTGCTCTCTGTAATTGCCTTGTAGCTTTATACTTTTGCAGACATGTCTTTTCGTGGAAATCGACGAAACTTCCGTAACCGGCATCACTCCAGAGGCGAATCGTCACGATACAGAAACAACGCACCAAGAAATTTTCACAATCACGGTCAAAATAGGCAATTTTTTTCAAAAGAAAGCTTCACCGAGTCGGAGGTGGGTATCACCGAATACGTCGGCGATCACGAGGGTTTTTCGGGGGTGATCAAAGCGCGCTTTTCCGATTTTCACGTTAACGAAATAAGCCAGACGGGAGAAATTGCGAAATTAACCGATCTAGCGGTGCCTAAAAGTTTTGTACCTGCCGTACCGACTGATGACGAATTGGTTGAGGATACCACGCTGCTGTCGGCGGATGTGTGGGAGAAATTGAGGGAATTATCGAAATGCGAAGAGAAGAACTTCGAAATCGACTGCAATTTCAGTAAGGAGCAGCGTACGCTTATACACGAGTCGATTAGGCGAGTGTTTGGTAACAAGATCGTTACGAACACCAAGGAAGTAAATGACAAAAAGATAATTAGTTTTACAAAGAATAAGGGGAATGCGGCTGATAATCGTTTCGTTTGGCCCAAGGATTTAGGTGAATACGTCCACTTTATTGTTTACAAGGAGTCTGTCGACACTGTAGAGGCCACATTTAAAATTAGCGACTGTTTGAAGATGAAGTCTTCGTTGTTTACGTATGCGGGTGTGAAGGATAAGCGCGCAAAGACTAGCCAGTGGTTTTCTGTGCGGAAAGTGGATCCACGTAAACTTATCCAGCGCACAAAGTGTTTGCGTTACATTCACATCGGTAATATCTCATTTAGGGATGAACCATTAAAATTAGGTCACTTATCTGGAAACCAGTTTCGTATAGCACTCAGAAATGTCACTGCTGAAGATGCATTAATTGATATAGCGCTGCAGTCTTTGAAAGTAAATGGTTTCATCAATTATTACGGCCTGCAAAGATTTGGTGCTGACAAGGAGGTTCCAACCTACAAAATAGGAGTTTCACTTCTAAAGGGAAATTGGAAGGAAGCCTGCGATATTATTCTCACGCCAAAAGCATCCGAGGATCCAACTTCAGAAATAGCAGAGGCTAAACGAGCGTACAAGGAGACTAACGACAGTAATATCGCCAGTCAGAAGTTCTCCAGATTTTATAATAAGTGCGTAGAATCAAAGCTTCTTTTGGGGTTTACAAAGAATCACGAAAACGACTACGTTAATGCCTTGGATAATATCCCTAGAACTATGCGGTTACTCTATCTTCATTCTTTCCAAAGTTTGGTCTGGAACAAAATTGTTTCCAAGCGTATTAAGAAGTTCGGCTTGAAACCTATTGTTGGCGACCTCATTTTACTATCTGAAGCAGAGTTGCCCCCTGCTGAAGTGGACGAATTGGATCGCCCTACCGAAGAAGAGCCTGAAGCTGAGAATACCTCGCCAACACGACTGGAAGTGAAAATATTAACTGAGAACGATCTAAGTACTTATACCATTCACGATGTGGTCTTACCTCTTCCTGGCTATGACATCACTTACCCGGAGAACGAAGTGAAGGATTGGTACAAGGAAATTTTAGAAGAGCATGGGTTAACTTTGGAGTTATCGAAACAGAAAGTGAAAACCTACAATCTTAGTGGCACCTACCGTAAAATACTGGCCCAAGTAAAAAACTTAAGTTGGAAAACAAAGAAATACAATCATCCGAATGATGTACTAATCAGATCTGACTATGAAGAATTAAATGGTGAAGCCGAACCTCAAGAGCACCCAACCGGTCAGTATAAAGGGTTGTGTCTAGACTTCTGCTTGGATTCTTCGTGCTATGCTACAATGGTACTCAGAGAAATTCTAAAAATTGACACTTCCACCTCTACACAATCAAAACTAAACGATTATCACTCTGAACTGAGCTCTGAACCAACAACAACTAAAGATCCGAACGAAGAATCATTTGCTGCACCTGACAGTCTTTTATCTGACCCTGCAAAATATGAGTTGTTCAAGCAACAGATATTTGCCAACCCGTCATCAGATGAGCTTAAGCGCAAACAACCAGAAACCATCGACTCACCTCCAGATAAACGGCAAAAAACCGAGCAAGAGGACCCAACAATAAAAATACAACCATCACTAGTTTAACTTGTTATTTCGAAATGACGTTGTTATATATTTATACTACTCCCATAAATGAGACTGAGTCGTCAATTGTCAGTGTTTAATTGTTTTGCTTTAAAAGATATCAATTCATCATTAAACTTTTCTATGGTATAATCACACATTTTAACTAAATCTGTAAGCCCACGTCGCAGCGCGTCTATCGCGCGACCTTTGCGCATTTGTATCCGGAAATGCATCTTCGACTCGGCGGGGTGAGGAACCGTGTAGCCGCAAAACTCGACGTCGTTGCTGCAAATTTCAAGGATTAGAACTCTGGGAAGTCCGCGTGTAATGAACTTACTAGTTCGAAATTACGCAACGCAGAACGTTTCCTAGTGTATGGCCTTCATCGTGGAACACAAAAGTTTTGGATTTCTCCTCGGAGGGGTCGTTTCCCGCTAGCTGTGTCAAAGTAAATCAGCAGGTCATGGAAGATAGCAAATTTACTTACCTGGGCGATAGGCATTGCAGAATGGGAAGCAATTTTTATTCTAAAACAGAAACGTTTAGCTAGGTTAAAAAAAGAGAGGTTATGTCCTCAGGAAAGAAAGTGTCTATTGTGTCGACACAATCACTCGGAGAATCCCGTTATAAATACAGGGTGGCCAAGTACAGCGTTTATTTTTTGTGTGAAATCGACCGGGAAGGGCCAATAGATTAAAACTATGAAATTCGACGAATTTATTGTTATTTTATTGCCCAATTGAGGGGTAAAAATGTACCTACAAAAAGGATATTTTTCCGATTAAATGTATTAAATTGTGTATTGAATAAGACCATACGAATATTTTTTTTGACAATCCGTTCCCATACAAGAGGCCTATGCAAATTTTAAAGGAGAAAGTGTCAGAAATGCTTGGAAATGACGTAATTTTTCGAAAGATGATAGTTTTTTTTTGCGCTAATTGCAGTATTTTCACGATTTCCAAAAAAAATGTTTGTAGTAGTTTCTTTACAATAGATGGCGCTGCGTATACATTATAAGATCATTTATTTTGCAATAAATAAAACACCTTATTTTGTTTAATTATTAATCATGAAGACATGAAAGAAATTCCAATATATTATTGCGTATATCATAAGCTACAAATAACAGTGTGTCCAACTCCCATTGTCCATGAGAGATAATTCAAAAAAGATTTCAAAAACTTTCAAAAGTAAAATCCTTTTTGAATTTTTCAAAAAAATTAAAAAATTCCGAGAAACTTTTTTGATCAAACAGTTTTTTGAATAATTCAAAAAAGATTTTAAAAATTCTCGATTTCACAAAAGGTTGTTTAAAATCCGTTTAGATTAAAAAAAAAATTTCAAGAAACTTTTTTGAATTAAACAGTTTGTTTTAATACTTCAAAAACTTTTGATTGAGAATTCTGATCGAAAAAGTACGAATTGTTTTAGGGATTCTACGCACCAAAATGAATAAGAAAAAGTGTTTTCCCGAGAAATTTTGGTGCAGTCGATTTTTGGTAAAAGAGGAAGGTTGTAAGGCCGATTCTCACTTTCGTGCAAAGAACCTGCACGGCACATACTCGGCACGGGCAAAGTTTTGTACACTGCCTTTTTTTTCGGGCCTCAAAAAAAATTGTCTCAGATCGCCCCGGAAAAAAATTTTTCTTATAGAACGTGGCCTGTAGAATCCATAATTTCAAACAGTTCCAAGATTGGGCTACTAGTTCAAAAGTTACAGCCCTTTGAATTTTTTTTCGAAATTGGTTTCAAGTCTATAACTTTTGATTGAGAAGTCTGATCGAAAAAGGACGAATTGTTTTGGATTCTACACACCAAAATTAATAAGAAAAAGTGTTTTCCCGAGAAATTTTGGTGCAGTCGATTTTTGGTAAAAAAGGAAGGTTGTACACTGCCTTTTTATCCGGGCCTCAACAAAAATTGTCTCAGATTGCCCCGGAAAAAAATTTTTCTTATAGAACGTGGCCTGTAGAATCCATAATTTCAAACAGTTGCAAGATTGGGCTACTAGTTCAAAAGTTACAGCCCTTTGAATTTTCTTTCGAAATTGGTTTCTAGTCAACTTTTGATTGAGAAGTCTGATCGAAAAAGTACGAATTGTTTTGGATTCTACACACCAAAATTAATAAGAAAAAGTGTTTTCCCGAGAAATTTTGGTGCAGTCGATTTTTGGTAAAAAAGGAAGGTTGTACACTGCCTTTTTTTTCGGGCGTCAAAAAAAATTGTCTCAGATCGCCCCGGAAAAAAATTTTTCTTATAGAACGTGGCCTGTAGAATCCATAATTTCAAACAGTTCCAAGATTGGGCTACTAGTTCAAAAGTTACAGCCCTTTGAATTTTCTTTCGAAATTGGTTTCTAGTCTATAACTTTTGATTGAGAAGTCTGATCGAAAAAGTACGAATTGTTTTGGATTCTACGCACCAAAATTAATAAGAAAAAGTGTTTTCCCGAGAAATTTTGGTGCAGTCGATTTTTGGTAAAAAAGGAAGGTTATAATACACTGCCTTTTTGTGAGGCCCTCAAAAAAAAATTGTCTCAGATCGACCCAGAAAAAATTTTTTCTCATAGAATGTGGCCTGTAGAATCCATAATTTCAAACAGTTCCAAGATTGGGCTACTAGTTCAAAAGTTACAGCCCTTTGAATTTCCTTTCGAAATTGGTTTCTAGTCTATAACTTTTGATTGAGAAGTCTGATCGAAAAAGTACGAATTGTTTTGGATTCTACGCACCAAAATTAATAAGAACAAGTGTTTTCCCGAGAAATTTTGGTGCAGTCGATTTTTGGTAAAAAAGGAAGGTTGTACACTGCCTTTTTAACCGCCGGCCGATAGGAAAAACCAGTTGCTGAACATAATTGTGAAATTTCTAATTGTTCCCGTTCCCTTGTATTATTTTTGTTGCACCCGACAGCCCTCGGCAGGGGGAAGCAAGGAAAAATTAATATTTTAGGATTTCAGCTCTGTTAATTATAGGTATTAGCTCATTTCAGTTTCCCTACGTTAATTTAAATCAAGGATAGGAACCGAGAAGGTCGCTCGTATTCAGGTAGGTGCTCCCAGGATTCTTGATTGCGATCGGTGTTAATTTAACTATATATATCACCGCTTTGCGGAATTTCACCCCGGCTATTTAGTTGACTAATTGTGTTGCAACAAACCTCGTCTGATTAGATCGCGGCTGGAAATTCCGATGTTCCCATTTCCTATTTTGGGATTTGCATATAAGGTCGCATGATTTAGGGAATCTTTCTTCGTTTTGGCTTTCGTGTCAAGTCTAAGTGTTTAATTTTGCATATTACTGCATCGTTTAATTTCGAGGTAAGCGCTTGATATCATTTTGTTAATTACGAAGGGACGTTACTTACCTTTTTTTTTGTTTCCCGTTAGTTAAGTTGTGCTTCCGTTCCTGCTTTGAAAAGCCGCTACCACGCCAGTCACCGACCGCCCGTTCGCTGTAATCGCAATTTCCTCCGTCTGATTACCACAGGCTTCCGAAACGGTACCGAAACCGCCGACCTGGTCCAGAAGCAGGGTTTCTGAATCTTCTTAATGGTGGCGCTCGAGTTACCGCAACGTCCCGCCGACTTTCACTGTGGCCAGCGTTTATTTTGTAAATTCAAACTTAAATATAATTGTATTTTCTTGCTTCTTAATTAAATTTTTTGTTCAATTATAGCGTTTAATTTCAAACATCCGATTGTGCGCGGACCTCTGAGCAAAGCTCGTCTTACTAGTAGGTACGGTACTACCTATAACTGTTGATATAGTAGTCCAATGTTGCCAATTGTTGTCATAATGACTTTTACAGGCCAGAATCTGGAGGTAACAAAAGGTAACAGTCGATCTGACATTTGCTGACATCCTAAATCAAATGGAAAAGTCGTTTTTCCGTGAATTTCATAGCAATATTTGACTGAGATAATAATAATAATAATAAATAGTCTTTGTTATACTATTAAATACATTATACAATGGGAAGAAAAAATAAGGAGAGTTAAGGACGGCCGAGATTCAGTTGCACGAAGTAACTTCCCTGGAGCTGCTGAAAAAAAAAACAAAAAATAAAAAAGGATCAGATAAACCTGCAAAAAAAGCAAAGGCGGTTGCCTCTAACATTTGAGTGAATGAGAGTTGTCGTAGATCGATCAGATTATCGTAACCTGTAGAAAAAATAACATTCTCCAATCAATTTTGAACTGTAGGTCTGATCACTCTGTCTGGAAAGGGAATAGGCAACACTGGAAAGAGCTTTGTAAAGAACTCTGGAACGGGACAATATCAAAAGGAAAAACTAGAACAAAACACATATATTTATACTGTATACAAATCACGTATGTATGTATTATTGCTAACATCAAACATACATTGCAATATCTCTTACAATTAAGTACAACTTTTTTTCTCATATAATAAAATAATGGAATAATAACCATTTCAACATACCATGAATTAAATAGCATTCATTAAAAAAGAAGAACTATAGTTATGTACAATAAATTTGATTCATCTGGACAGATTTGCAATTTATAATACATGCTGGAGGGAATAACTCTTAAGTACAAGGTATTTAAAAAATGTGTAATTTACGTAGTCTAAGAGTCACTCATACAATTAAATACCCTGCAGTTAAATTAATTTTCGTCATTTTCTGACTTCACAATACGCTGGCTCAACTATTTTCTTTTTTTTTACTTGTGCAAGCTGCAAGCAAATGCTACATGTCGTGCTCACGATAAGCCAGCTTCTTTAAAGATTGACTCGAATTTTTTACCCTTAACGCTAAAATACAACATATCAAATGCATACTACACCGTAAGTAAATACGTTACTTAAAGCATAACTATTAAGACCTATTACTATGATTGAACTTGTAACAACCAAAAGAGGATCTATATAACTATTTTAGTTACTTTTGTTAATATTAAAATATTGCACAAAATTAAGTCAAAGTGCTAAAAATATTAAATATACTACAACAATTGAATGGAATAATAATTATGAGAATTATTAAAAACCGTGTAAGTACTTTCTTATAGTCAATAACGCTGTTGGAATTCGTGGTGCCACCGATTAAAATCAATGTGAAATACCACTATAGAGCCTAACGCTAGACCAGCTAGCAGAAACCTATGGACAAAAACATTAAATTAGTTAGTTAGTCCAGTAGGGAAGTAAAATATCTTGCATACAGTAATTCCCTTGTTAACCTGATCAGGTTTTTTTATAACACAATCCATTACGACACACACAATTAGTTAAAAAAATAGAAATGATCACACTGATCACTGATCCATTTTATCAACTGCCAACGAATTTTAAATGTTTCTAAATGACAGATGCGTTTTAGCCCACAATACGAAGTAAAGCTTTAACAATTATTTATAAGAATATTAAGATCATCGAAATTTTGGAATATCTGTGATATTTGCTCCCGATTGGTTTGTCAAGCCTGCTTTCGTGAGAGCGAACTGACGATCGATATAATTACGATCGAACTTCTCAGGTAAATTCATTTCATCGTTTAATTAATTTAATTAATCTTACGTCCAGTCCCTTTGGTTGATGTTACAGAATGGTTAACTACGTAGTTCCCGATCCTCGCGCTACAACGCAGACGCACTTAGACATGTGAAAAAGTGAAAAGTAAATAAGAATTTCTTGAATTGATTTAATAATTGAATATTTGATTTCATCAATATCTTGTATGGGAATGTTGAAATGACTGGTCCAAGAACGACCAATAATAAAGAAGGAAACCTGTCGGGACTACTCCAATTGGTTCTCTCTGCGCATGATCGAAATAGATAAGTTATTTTGCAATTTTATGTTTGGAAAATTCAGGGCCGTTTGTACAAACATATTTGATTCGGGATTAATCCTGATCCTGGTGTTAAGAAACGTGATTGGTTAAGAACTTTGCCATTATCCAATCGGGGTGTAGACACACCCACTATGTAGCCAATCAAATGTACACCCTGATCAAATGTAATCCTGTAGGTTAATACCAGATTATTTTTATGTGCCACTGGACCTTAGTCTTTTGAAATCTCTTGTGCCTAAATAAACCTCAAGCTGAAATTTATTTTTATCTTTATGGTTAGGGTATACTTATCAAGATCAAACTTTCGAGGATAATGATTCACTTTCAATGGATTCAACTGCTTTCTTTTCAGCCATTGATCTTTTTGGACATTTTCTTGACATACCCATGATTATTGCAATAAGTATTTACACTTTAATTTTGAAGCTATTCTACATTGTTATGTAGAGTGAGTGAGAATTTTTGGCACCATTCAGACAGTCTTTCTATCCAACCTGTGTTTAATTTAAACGCGATTTAGAGACTAAATGACTCTTATTCATGAACATCTTAGAAATATTCGTACTACGAATTATTATTAGGTACTTACTTTTGATCATGTGACAACGCAAGGGACCTAACGCTACTATCACACGCTGGAAAGGCATATAACAAAGCCAAGTTAAACGTTCTCCAAACCTCTACTATGCCCTTATCTCCACCTGTCATTAAATATTCTCCATCTCGGCTTAATAATAGGCACTAGAAGCACAACGTTTAAACGAAACCCATTAAAATAACAATCTTACCTGTAGATTATCATTGTGCGACTCGTGTCGCAATCGCTTTCCATTTATAGTGAAGGCGGCTATGTGTCCTTTTTCGTAATTAACAACTATAACGCCTTCACGCGACATAGCTATATTTTCTGGAGAAATAAAATTCGTAGGAGGATCTAGAGACCGCAGTAGATCGCCGAAGGTTGTATGAACCAAAACAGGTCCACCTGCAATTTTGACAGCTGTAACACAGACACTTGCACAACCTGAAAACTTACTATATGATCCTGAAACGACAAGCCCGAGTTCTGCGGATATTACGACACTGCTCACCGGTTGCTCGTGCCCAGTCAGCGTCGCCCTGGGAGTCGGCACTTCGCCTTCTCCAACAATAGTCTGCGTCCTCGCGTTCCAATGCCACAGCAGCACGGTGCAGTCGGCCGATCCAGACGCGATATAGCAATCTGAAGTAATGTTACACTCGGATCGCGATAGACACGTGACGACGCCGTAATGACCGAAAATAATTTGAACAATTTTGGCCGTCTCCGTTGAGAATACCCGAAAGCTGTTGTCCCAGAATCCGCAAGCTAGCAAAAATCGACTGTCGACGGTTGTAACGAAGCAGTTTGAGCGTATTTTTAAATTTTGACTGAAGTTGTCGCCTAAGTGTCGTCTAAGCATCGGATTTGTACTGTTATTCGTTTGCGAAAGTACGGGATCCATTGACAGAGGTAAGTTTGCCGACTGATTCTGCGGTGTATCCGCGAAACTCGGGGATTGTGCAACCGCGGCATAGCTGGAGTTCCACCGATTTACAGCGAACTGCTGGTGCATTGTGACTGTAACTACGGAAGGCAAAGGCAACTGCGTATACGTATTTGCGGAAATGTGCACGATCGGCGAGTTGGAAAGGAACTTCATCGTCATACATACATCATCCGGTATGCTCGAGAACATCATTGGTGACTGAAAATGTTTACAGTTAAACATGAAAAGGTTTAGATTGGAATACCAAGTGCATGGCTGAACTCCTCGGTGGATGCGGCTCCATCAGTAGTTGCGAGGGCGTTTGCCCAAAGTTTCTTACTTGGTTTTCAATCGCCTCCTTCATCACGCTGTCGTGGATGGAATCCATATCCACACTACCTTCATAGGTAAGGTAATAAAACACATTCGTGGCCCTAATCGCCTCGGGTCCTTTCTGTTTGTAACCAAATATTAAGTCAATCCATTGGTGTAGTTGACAGGATACGAATTCGGATTCGAGCGCCTACAAACAACTTTATAACTGTGATCATCCATAACTTGTGAATTACCATTCTGTTGATGCGCACAAACTCTTCTGGGGTACCCGCCCAAGGTGGAAGCTCGACGTCCCCCACCGTGTTACCATCTTCCTGCACTCCCAGCCTGTAACGATTCGAATTTACGAACATTTCGGGTAAAAAGAAGAATTCCGGGATTAATTCTTTAACATCAGACGTGTCGCGCTGACAGTTTTTCCACGAAAGCGCAATGGACGAAAACAGCCTGTTGGGGTGATCAAATTTTCCACCTTGAAGCGCCAAGAACATGGTGGTCAAAGGCTCCTGAAACGTACAATTTTTTTACTCACGACTACAACTGGACGAAACTGGTTACGTACGACGCGTATCAGCCAATTAAGAACAAACGCTGCGGTCGAGTAGTGCGTTCCATAGTGGAATGGCGGTATACTTTCGTGCTCCCAACTGGAGTATCTCTCCTCGAAATACGCTCGCCGGTTCGGATTTAATGCGCCGATTGGTTTGGATAGATCTCGGTAGTTATTAGGTTGGCTTAGATCAAGTTCTTTGCTTTCATAGTTCGTAAGAACCCAAGGAAATACTGGATATTGATTTAAATCGTTGTAGGTACGACCTAGAAGCAAAGACGGTAACATAAGGGCGACATTATGGTACATTCGGTCGGGAACTAAACATTATAGAATATCTATAGGATTTTTCGAGAACATTTTGAACCTAATGATCAGAATAAGAATCGCCTTATGACAAGACTGTTTCAGTAATCGGCGCGATGTTGAGGTGTCTTAAATACACTCGTACCCGGGAATAAGAAAGTACTCCATAAATATTCCTAGACTCGATGAAGTAGGCAGTAAGTTCGTCTGGGTGAAGAATAAAATGCGAAAATTCTTGAGTAATAACTTTGGGCTGAATAGCCAAAATTTGCAGGACCAGAATTTTCTGAGTAGTAACATAAGGAAATTCTGAGAATTTGATGAAATAAAAAAAAATGTTTGAAAGATGAGAAATGTCTGTAGGAGAGAATAAAGAAAATTTGCTGGCATAAGAGAACAATTTTGGGAGATTAAGGAATTTTTAGAAACCATAGAGAAATTTTGAAGGAATAACAGAAAATTGTTGGGAATGATGAGAAAATTCTTGGGCAATAACAAGGGTAAAATGTTAAAAGAAGACAATTTTGAAAGTATAAGGAAGAAATATAGCTTCGAAATTTTTGATTTTGATAGAATAAGACAACATTGTTTAAGAGAGAGAGGGGAAAAATTCTTGGGAAATAAAGAGGAAACATTGGAAAAAATTTTTAAAAAATTGCAAAAATAAAGGCACAATTTTGAGAGTATATGGAATGCTCCGGACATAGGACCTTCTGCAAATTTTTATAGAATAAGAGAGGAAAAAGTTCTTTAACAATAAAAGCGAAATTTTAGGATAATAAAGAAAAGTTGTTTGATAGTTTGGGAAATACGAATGATTCTCTGGAATTGATGGAATAGGAAAAAATTATTAGGGTGGATAAAAATTGCAGGAATAAGGGGGCAATTTTCAAAGTATACGGAATTCCCAAGCAATTTTGATGGAATAAGGGACTATGTTAAGGGGGGAAGAGAAAATTCTTGGGCAATAAAGAGGAAACTTAAAGAAAAGTAAAAAAAATTGTCAAGTCAAACGTCCATATATCGATTAGAAGTGGATGCTACTCTATTAAGTTGGGAAAATTGATAGGGTTGCTGTCCGAACACTCAGAGCAGTGGTCTGTTTTGATAATTATAATTTAAATGTCGACAATTAAGTTAAATTCCGTCTGGTATTGTAATTAAATATCAACATTCTGGGGGTGCCAATAAATACTCTGAGCAATGAAGAATTCTTTTACCAACGGAGACGAAATAAAATCGGGAAATAATTTTAAGCTGCACTACATCAAAAGGGGGTAACTCTAATCCCCAGACTGGTACGGCTTAGACTGAATGAGATGGCGCCTAATTCGCAGTGACAAGCACCATCCGCCTCTGTTCATGATGCGTCGCGACGTTCGCTTACAAATAACAAATGTGTACATTTGGAAGCGGTGGCGGCGTCTCAATTTTAAAAACGCACGATAAACTGATTTACTCTAGCGCCCTCAACAAATTAATTTCGACGAGATGTCTTTAAATAGAAGGTGATTAAAACGTAACAGTTTCATTAGCTCCACTTCTGCGTGCTTAATTGTAGTTTATATATAGGCTTCTACCGGTCGCCGAAGCACGTGATGTATGTGTTTTTAATTTAGTTCAGCCTTTCTGACAACTGCTAATTTTGCATGAGACATTTTCTTCAGTGTTACAAAAACTGTTTAAGTTCACGCTCTGTCAACATGTGGAATTATTTCCTGCATACTGAGAATTTAATTTCAATTTCTTATAATTGAAGTGGACGTGATTTATTTTTGTAATGCTAGATGAAAATTTTCACTTTTGACTTTTGATTTACATTCTAAAAAAAAGAGTGTCGACGACCTACAGTTTAATTTTAAAGTTCCACCTTCACTTTGACATTACTTACCCGCAATGGTATTCAAAAACATCAAGTACTCAAAATTGGAAATTTCTCTTCGTTGCCATTTTTGGGTCATGTTGGAGTTCCTCATGAGCTGCCTGGGCGACATCATGCTCGCTCTCCTGCAAGAATTGTTTAATTACATACAGGCTCGCGCGCTAGACAATAGTAAACGCACCTCGTTTGTGGAATTCCATACTTAATTCCGACGCCGACTCTTGGCAGAGCTTTAATAACCTTTTTAACGGTCGCCTGATCAGGGAAGGCAAATAAAATTGATGCTGAAATGGTTATTTGATATGATTGATTATTACTAAAGAATGAGTAGACTTACTTCGACTTGCAAGAAAAATTTCAATCGCGACATTTTGCAGAAGATATCTTCTCGAAAATATTGCTCTAATTTCAGAAAAGTACCATTTGCCGTGAAGATGGTCGCAGTATTTAAGAACCTGTAACAAAATTATGTTGTTAAATAAAGTTCAAAGCTATTGAAAATTAAAACTCGACTGGGTGAAGCTTTTGAATTGAAACTAATTAGCCAATCCTATATATACCTACACTAATCTAATTCTTGTTAAAAATTATTGTCACAAATGAAATAATATAGGTATTTGTTATGAAATTTAAGTTTCGATTTGCAGCCGATCATCTGGAAATCATACGTTCTTCTTTCATTACTAGCAATATTTGAATTGCCAGAGTGCAACTACACTCTCTGGCAGCTCTCTGTAAGGCGGCATCTCTGAAAATTACAAGACGATAAAGGGATATTTTAACCATCGAGTGAAAGAAAACTTTCACGAGATGGTTTGTTTCCCTTTATTGTCGTGTATAATAAGAAACTTTATTTTATAACAGAAGCCATATAAATCATTGTAAAGCGAGCCGTCAAAAATAGCAAGCTTAGGGTCTGCCGTCGTGATCGTTTCCATCCCGTAGAAAAGCGAAATTGCGATAGACAAAACTGTCAATTTCATATTCATTTTGTGCCGATACAGTGATGGGCAAATCAGTGAAAAGGTTTCTAGTTTGGATTAACATTCAAGAACGACCCATTAAAATTGAGTTTATGCCAATGTTAGTTTCTTTTGCCAATCCAAATCTGTACTGAGCAGGAGAACTAACAACCGACACCTGCATTTCAACGTTAATCATCAAACACGTCCATGTCCAAGAGCTGTTGTCGGAGATTATTTCATATCGTAGGGTTTAAGAATTCATCCACGAAGTCACCTGTTAACTACCCCAGAGTATTGAATCAACCGATCACTACTAAGATTTCCATGTTTCCACACCAAAAAGTTTTTGAAAATTATGTAAAATGATTGTTTTTCTATTTGTATTCTTATCGAAAAAAACCTTCATTTGTGACCAGTATTTTCAATAATAATAATAATAATAATCGAGCTTGCGGAATCAAAATCGAATTCCAGTTATATTTCAGTATAAGGGAACCAAATTCAGAGGTCATTCATATGTTAATGGTTCCCCGTAAAACGAATTTAGGTTGCATTTGAAGTATAAATCGTTGACGTTTCAATTTTAAAATATTGATCTATTTAATCTTATTAAAAGAGATGGCCGCCTCCACTTAGTAGAAGATAACCATTCAAATGTAAACCAGGTAGAATTTTAGTATTTAGAACATTCTATTGAAAAACAATAAAGAGATGCGCCCTTCGACGTTTTTTATATTTTCCGTGTTTCTTTTTGATCAATTATGTAATGCTGAACAGTACAAGATTCAAAGAACCCCTTTGTAGTAACTTTTTCAGATAAAGGAGATCTCTTAACAAACCTAGAGAGAACTGCAAAGTAACTAGAGAACCGACAGAGCTAGTCTAGTGAAAGAAGCAAAAGCCGACTATCACCTCCCCCCCTCTCATTGCTGTCATAAATTGCAGCCCCTGGATATCAACGTATTTTTTTTCTTTTAAAAGCTTTTATAAACTCATAAATCGACAAATGGATGCGATTATAGGCATTAGGCACCCTGGTCAAACTCTTTCGATTTGCGATTTTGCTGTGTGTGTGTCTGTAGCTTTTGAAAGAGCAATAAGGCCAGAAAATATAAAGTCAGGCTTTAAAAAGTGCGGCATTTTCACTTTTGCCGACCAAATTTTTACAGATGACGACTTTTTAATGTGTTCTGTAACTAATCGGCCGCCAAATGCCGAGCTAAATAACGAGGACCAAACAGAAAATCAAGACCTACCCGAAAACCAATACATTTTAATAAGAGAAAACACCATGAGTTAACATAAAACACCACCAAAAGATGAACAAGTTAATATTATTAGTGTTGTAGGTGTGCCACCGCCCCTTAAAAAAATCCCAGTTTGTATCACCTGAAACATTTACCTAAGGAAAAATATTCTGCATAACCGGAAAAGGGGAAGAAGTTTTGTACCCACAGATACCACTGAAAAGACAATTTTGGAGGAAAAACAAGTTCAAAAATACAAAAAAAAGTATTAGAACAGCTTGCAAAAAAGTAAATTTTGTATTAGTTAGATTTCAGGCAAATAAAAAAGAATTTTTCTATGTTGCATAATCCATAAAATCCTAAATAACATACCATTATCGCTCATTTTCTTTCCAAACGAGGTCCATATTAGTAAAAACGGCATGTTTAATCGTTATAACAAGATTTTGTGTTTCGTTTCCATGTGTATCAAGAAAATTTGAATGCATAACGTTATTTAGATTGTTGTTCCTGCAACAGACTGCCTCTTCACGAATATGTTGTTTGTTGTTATATGTATTACCAACAAGATTGTGCCCCTATTCACATAAAACAGGCATTATTTCAGGATTTTTAGTTGCCACTTTTCTGTGGGATTGAATCGGAAACCGGGAGATATATACCCACAGGGCATATTCTACAACAGTTAAATGAAAAATCACTAAATCTGTTTTTCGCTCATATCTAGTAAACTGTGGATTTTATTAAAAAAAACAAACGCATATCTTAAATAAGCTCTTAAAACGACAACTCTTCCCTCATTTAACCGAATCTGTATGTCTTATGGTTTACCAGATCCCAATGCTTAAAATGAAAAAAAATCTCACCCTGTATATTTGACCGGGTCGTTCCCCGGACCCTTCCCCAATAGATTTATTTTTGTGGGGGTCTGTAGACAGAGTTTATACCTCTCACAACAAGAGAAGACATGAATGATCTTAAGAGTAAGATACACACTACAAGCCATTGAATCACAATGGATACAAAACTCTACAAGAGAACATTTACTTACGCAAAAGAATTGAACTGAAACGCACGAAGGCGCTCATGTTCAGCATGTGTTGATGAAGAGGGAGTTTTTAAATACTTAATTTGATCTTATTTTCATATAAATTTGTGTTTTCCAATTAGCTGATCACTTTGTTGCCTTTTTTATAAATTAATTATAAAGCTTATGATATTACATATAAAGCATCCTTGCCGTGATTTGACTTGTCCTTCGATTTAAAAAAACTGAGTCTTTGAAAAATGTTTTAAATTTGGATTTCCATAGGTGCGGTCGTGCGCAACAATTTTTTTTAAGTACGTAAAATAAAGCCCTATTCTTTCTCTATATGCACTGGTAAAAATAGGTTGCCAAAACTAGGTACCTATATAACCGTTTTCAAGTTATAAGTAATCAATTTTCAAGGTATCGTCTGCATCCGCAATTTTCGTTAAGTCAAAAGTCAATATGCGTGGGTATCAAAAGAAGTTAAATTTCACGCAGAATCCCAAAATGCAATAAAAATAAAGGGTTGCCAATTCAAATAACGAAGTTACTATGGTTATTTCCGGTATTTTCGGAGTGCCACCATTTTAAAAATGTGACCGATTCGGTCTTCTGAGTAACTCCTAAGTACCTACACATTTTCAAAATCCTATACCATTTCTTTCCCATGAGCCGTTAAAGCTCCTAAAAAAACACCCATCAGGTATCGTGCGGCTGCAGTTGCGAAAACGACTGACGTATAATATTGGGGTTGTTAATTTTAAATTTGTTATTGGTATATCAATAGCGCACACAGTGAAATTTATGCCTAATAAATTAATTGCTCGTTTTTGCATCGTTCTGCATTAGATCAATAAAATAAAGCAAATCCGATTAGCTAAATACAACCATGAACGATGGTCCAATTTGACTTCCAATGGGTATAAATCAGAAGTTACACAATAAAAAAAATACTTGGTGGTGGGTTTAGTATTTCGCGTTATCCACAATTGTTTTAAATAAAAACTAAAAGTGACCCGCAGTACCCTTTTTAATTCAAACTTGTGGATTTCGGATGAAATGACTCCGATGTTAAGGTATATAAAAAGGTTTCCAGTATTGTGTCTTTCATTGATCTGCTTAGTTTAGAGGTATACAAGCGAACAACCCCAATACGATAGGTGTACGACCACTAAATATAAAATATACGGAATTAAGGATATTCTTGCCATTATGCTGGTGTCTACAAACTTGGTCCTGTCAAAAATGAACGCATTACGGCCGGAATATTTCTGATTTTGGTACAAGATATCTTATGCATCTTTACATGTTACAAAAAAAATGTTGGGAAATATTTATTTATTTAGAATAGAGTCAAATGTTACTTCGTGGTTTTCTTGAGGTTTTTCCTTATAAGCGACTTTTCTCATCAGGATTCATTAGGACGTTTAAATTTGACTAAGCACCGATTAGAAAGACTGCAGCGTTTATAAATCATGTAGGTAAGTGGGAAGTTATCCCAGTTAGAATGCAATAATTCCATATTGCAACAAAGAACGTTGCGCCGAATATTTTCGGTTATAAAATCGAGAGCTATGGAATGGAAATTTCTCATAAATCGATAACAAGTGCAAGATGGCCGAGGTGAAAACGTGGGAGTGGCTCTGGAATTCCATGGGATAAACTGCAATTGATCCCGTTCGCGATTACGTCCATTGGCGGTGGTGGAGATTGCGCTCTGGAAACCTATGCAACCCGCATGACACGTTCTGATAATCCAATATGAATTTCCCAATTTCATTCCTGAAACAGCCAAATCGGGAATGTTGTAGTACGCGGTCTGTAATGGTATTCAACGTTATCTTAAAGTTAAAATCTCGGCGGCCACTATACAAGAAATTTATACGTCAAAGTGAAGAAAGGGATTTTTTACGTTAATAAAATAATTAAGTAGAGAATATTGTTTATTGTTTTACGATGGATACAAAAAGGAGCTCGAATTGAAAGTAGCTATAAATTTGCGTTGTAGAAATGTTAGAAGTAGACCATAAAGTCCAGTTTACTCACATCGTAAATCCATAAACTTGATATTGCTATCGCTTGCAACATGTTTATTGCTGCCGTATTCTTAACAGGTTTATTATCCTTGTAAAAGGATCATGTACATCGTATAGCCATAATAGCGCGTACCTATGTAGAAGAAAAAGAACACGCTGACCAGATTTGTTTTATATTACATTTGTTATTGGCCAGCAAATGTGGTAGTTTTCAAACGGTCTAAAGTACCAAAACATCAAAATGGAATTCGTCCACCGATTTTAAATACCTACCTATATTTTAAACATGGGTTTGTATGTGGAACAAAAATGGTAGATTTTTACCTACGTGCCTACGTAGATTAAAAAATGAATATTAGTCGTATACAATTAAGGGTTGAAATATTCCGTATCGACCAACAGCACAAAAACAAAATGTACTTTGTCGTGTTCCCCATTTTATAACAGTGTTGATTACAAAATGGCGTA